TAACAAAACCTAACCAACATAGTGTCGTTGATATAAGTTATGTTAATCTGTGTTGGTGGTGAAGACGAGGCCTGTCATCTGATGTGCCCGGCGGTGCTGTGTGTGGTGAGGCGTTAAGTGTTGGGGTAGAATACTGTGTCTTCATTAACCTTAACTGAAATAGATAATTGAATCTTGACTTATTTTTAACCTTACCTTACCTCAGTTCCCACCGCATGTGTGTGTGTGTCCAGGTAATAATAATAATAATAATAATAATAATAATAATAATAATAATAATAATAATTAATGGTTTGAGAGAAAATAGACATTGGCTGAAAATACAGTGAACAAAAATAATATAAACAATAGATGAGGAGAGTGGTGGTGGTGGTGGTGGTTGGGGAGGGGGTGAGAAGATACTGTGTTCCGAGGACAAGTCTTGGGTCATAACAGCCGCCAGAATCGAGGTCACGGCTGTTTGTGTGTTGTGGCCTAACGGTTCCCACACCCTAGATGACGGGAGGGGGGGAAGGGGAGGAGGAGAGGGGGAAAGGGAGGAACAGGTAATGGGGTGGGAGAGGGGGAAGGGTAGGTAGGTTAACTGAGAAGTAAAGTGAAGATGATGGGAAGGGGAGAGGTGGTGATGGGAATGGGGACATAGGGGTGGAGAAGAGGGGTGGTAGAGGTGGGGGAGGTAGAGGTAGGAGTTGGAAGGTAAGGATGAGAAAAGGGGAGGTGGAGGTAAGGGGGGGCAGATTGGAGGAGGAGGAGGAGGAGGAGGAGGAGGAAGATGTAGGATGAGGAGGAAGAGGAGGAGGTATGGGCTTAAGGGAGTGGTAAAGGTCGTTAACAGCAGAACAATTAGGGAGTGAGGTAGTCGTCAACTTCAGGTCATAAGTTATAGAGTGAGGTGCGTTGTGGTGCGTCAGGGGGAGTATTGTCCACAGACACACGAGGCTGGCTGGTCAGATAGGCCCCATTACTCATTGGCCTCAGTCTTAACGGGCCCTAGTCAAAATAGAACCTTGTCTTATTTGGCCCCTATCTTAATAGGTTTCTAGTCTTATTGGGTCCCCTTTCATAGGTCCCAACATGATAATCCTCAATCATACTGGGTCCCAATTTTAGTCTTCAATCATACTGGGTCCCAATTTTAATAGGCCCATATCTATCCTGAACTTGAAGATTGGAGCTTCTTAAGACACACCCATTATAACCAGTCCTAATAGATCATTTAGGTTCCACTGAAGAAATTTAAAAGGACCTATGACTCATATCACCAATCATAGTTATAGGTACAGGTGAATGTACCTATGGAGAGATCTAGGAATAAACACTGTACATTTAGCATTCATTACTGGTTGTTACAAGGGGCCGGGCAAGTGGTTACATCATTTATCCCAAAGGTCGCTGGTTCGATCCCAGGTCTATCCAGCTGTAAATAGATAACCGGGTACCAAACTTTATAGTGAAGATAAGGCTGTCGAGTGCATTGTCGGCCTCTTGTGTACTGAAGATTTAGTTTATAATGTGCAATATCTACGCTGTCTCCTGCAAACTACTGTAGAAGACTGTGAGGTAATGTAGAAGACTGTGAGGTAATGTAGAAGACTGTGGGGGACTGTAGAAGACTGTGGGGGACTGTAGAAGACTGGACTGTACTGTAGAGTGAGGTGTACTGTAGAAGACTGTGAGGTACTGTAGAAGACTGTGGGGGACTGTAGAAGACTGTGTAGAAGACTGTGAGGCACTGTAGAAGACTGTGAGGTACTATAGAAGACTGTGGGGGACTGTAGAAGACTGTGAGTTACTGTAGAGGACTGTGAGGCACTGTAGAAGACTGTGAGGCACTGTAGAAGACTGTGAGGTACTGTAGAAGACTGTGAAGCACTGTAGAAGACTGTGAAGCACTGTAGAAGACTGTGAGGCACTGTAGAAGACTGTGAGGCACTGTAGAGGATTGTGAGGCATTGTAGAAGACTGTGAGGCACTGTAGAACACTGTGAGGCACTGTAGAACACTGTGAGGCACTGTAGAGGACTGTGAGGGACTGTACAGGACTGTGAGGCACTGTACAGGACTGTGAGGGACTGTAGAGGACTGTGAGGCACTGAACAAAAAAGATAATAAAACCAAGAATTTTTATTTTTTTTACTAAAATTTATTAATATCTTAGTAGTTTGGTCAACTCATAAATACAGCAGAAGATAACGGAGGGTGCCGGGGCATGGTGACAGTAGGATAAGCCGCCCAACAGGAGCGTCGTTGCCAACTCGGGGGAGAGCAGTGCCTGGCAACACTGGTAGGCTAGCTCAGTGGGCCATTGGTAGACAACACAAAGCTTCTATTTACTGTAAGGCAAATTATACAGGTATTGTTAATGTGTGTATAATAATGCCCTGCAGCAAGCGAGTGTCTTCTTCCAAGGACTGTCTGAGGTCAGGTCACATTTACAGCCACCACATCCACCTCACCATCGCTAAGCAGGTCATTACTCAAGTACTGTACTTGTATCTAAGAAGTTGTAGCAATTTTTCCCATGGGCCATAGTGTCCCATTGAATGTTTGGGTCACATGTATGGTTAAACGTGAGAATTACCTGCACAAACACAGTGTTTTCTTAGGGAATAAATACTTGCTACAAGGTAATTAAACCCTTGGGGAAGGTTAGATGATAAGAACTTCCTGTAGATTGTAATAAATGCAAAATTGACTTGACTACATAGCAGACTGCATGGGTAATAGTGTGTGCATACTGCTGTAACATTCTGCAGTTAACTACCATAATAATACAAAAGTAGCCACGAAGCTACAGTGTAATGGTACAGTATGAGGGCACTAAAATTATTTTGCACTTTTTCAATGCAAAATCAAGGTTGCAATATGCTTTGTCCTTGATTAAATATATTTATATATAAGTAAAAAATCTCTATGAGAGATAAAATCTATAAAAAGAAAGAAGACCATGTAAACCTTGGGGTGGTGGATGGTGTGTGTGTGACGTGTGGAGATCAGTGATGGTTAAACCTTAAATGTTGTTGCAGTGTATTGTTTCACTCATAACTGAATCACCTGGGAAATGAGGCAGACGTGCTTCACTCTCATAGTGAATCACCCGGAAAATGAGGCAATAGGAGGGCAACCTTTAAGCGACACAACCAGTGATCTCCCGGACTACATTACAAGTGATAATACATGATTATATTTTTATCAGTAATTCAATATATCACTAAGAAAATAAAATTTCATATAATTTCACTGTAACAGATATGCAGCTTCAACACAGACCTGCACATTTTATTTTAATTTTTTTCAAATATTTTCTATTATGGCAAGTAGTGCTCCCTTTAGTAAAAAATATATAACATAAACTTGCATCCTGGCAGGTCGGCAGAACATGTAAATATATTATACATAAAATTATTTTAACAACAAATTATGAGATTCCCAAATTAAAAGCCTAAGATGAATGAAAGCAGTACTGTACCTTAGTGATAAACACAGGTACTGCACTATACTCGTATATAGTAACACAAGGACACCAAAAAATATCATAACAATAATAATTTACTTTGAGCAAAATGAATTATTAACAAAGTAAATAGTTCACAAAGTACACAATGAGCTTCAAGTGGAGAAATTTATCTAGAATGAAGTATCTTTGTAAAACGAAACAACCATTGCTGGATTTTCGTCACCTTTTTGTGTCTTATATAAATCATCTGAGATAATGAAACCTGACACAAGAGTTACTGAAGTGCTGGTAACTTGATTCAGTATTACGTATGTGTGAGTACAGTAAGTGATATTTATAACAAAACTTTTCTTGGTTTGAAATATATATATATATATATATATATATATATATATATATATATATATATATATATATATATATATATATATATATATATATATATATATATATATATATATATATATATATATATATATATACACAGGTATATATATAATGTATTTTGTTTTTAGTGACAAGCTTGAAGTACAGTACTGTAGTTAGGTTTGATAAAATAAATAATAATGAAGTGCCTACTTGCCAAGATGACTATGGATGGTTAGATTTACCCCTGTTAGAGCCTTTACAGTACAGTACAGTAGTGGGTCAGAGACGAGACTTCACCTACACCTTACGCTCTACGATGGCACTTGTAATTAAGTATAGGTATATATTAGGAGAGGTCCTCTTTACTTCATCCTGGATTAATAAAGGTCACTAACAGCATAAACATCACCATCGCTCTGGAGTATGACTAGTAAAACTCTATGTCACTAAACATTTGAAATTATACTGTACTGTAGTGTTCTTCCATTCACAAATGATCAAGTGTCTTATTTTCCTTCACTCATATACTGTATCAGAAGCCAAAAATATATAAATTAACAAATGTTATACCTGTACACTATATATCTGATTATTTAATACAATTTTAATACCTGTACAAATATTTATATGAAAACTTTACTGACATTAATAATTTGGTAAGATTATTGAAGACATGAAAAAACAGAAGTCACTTGAGTGGTAATCATTTGTGTTGGAATGTCCCGTTGGTTTGATAAAAGGATAAGGTCTTGTGTTATCCGGTTAATGTCACTTTAGAACTGCATCATACAGGTATACCAATGTAGTATATTTCATCTTTGTATTCAAGACACTGAGAGGTCTGTGATCATCAACTACTTATTTTCAGTTTTCTGTTCCAAACAATTCCAACAAAACACTGCCAGTGTAAAAGGTAACACGTCCGTCTTTCCCTTGAGTGACCTTGGCAGGAGTTTCCGTGCTTCACTATCTCCCTTAACAAAACACCAACTCAGAAGAATCTCTGCAAGAGGCAAACACTTCGTTGTGAAAAAGAAGAATCAAGTTCAGTATCACTAAGCACTCTTGTGTTATATCACATAGTCCATCATTCACTAAGGCAGGCGTAATTAGGGTTAATGTATGCAGTGACACTTGATGTCAATTTTCTGATAGTTATAATAAATAAAAAGACTGAGAGGAAGTTAGGTTTAATACTTGCTTGAAATAAATGCAAAATTTCATTATGCACATTCATACCATTAAGCTAATAAGAAATGCAAAGACAATACTGTACATTCAGTACCTCATTAAGTAAAGTACAATGAGAAAATATAATAAAATTAGAAAATACATTTGTTTTTAAATGATAAATCTTTGATAGATGTCATACATGAGGTCTCTGGCACAGTCTTAGTTATTGTTACACCCATAATTACACCTTATATAAGTCACCTCTGTAACTTTTAGTCTCACTGGCTCGTTAATTCAAACCTGATGTGGCTGTGACACTGAGAAGGCTCTTGCCTGGATATGTTTTATTTAGCAGCACAGTTGATTACTTAAGCTGAAGAGATAAAGCAAGAGTTTCTTAGACACAGCACTACTGTAATGTGTGAGTTTAAACAGTTATACACATGCTCACTGCTTTAAGTCTTAAAAATATTTGGCTTATTTTTTCTTTCTAATATTTGCTTGATATTTTTTTCATCGATGTAATGAAAAGAGCAAAGCAATGTAGGGAACTACACCATTCATTTCTTGTTTTATCTAAACAGACTTAATCTGAAACTGCTGCTTCTGCTCTGTCAGAATTGTCACATAACTATAAGCTGAAGGAAATCCTTCAACTGAGCCCTTATCATCCCTCCAAATTTAATTATGGCAAGTACAGTAATGTTATCCAGCCTATACTTTAGAGAGAGATTTGGGAAAGATCATCCCACATAGGCCATCCAGTCAACACCTTTCAAAATGTCACTGATAATGCCCGCTGGGAGTACAGTAGTCCGTCAGGTTCGTCTTCCTCTGAGGGACTCCATTAATACTTTATCACATGTTTTATTCTCCTGAGCCTCAGACTTGCCATAAAAGTAAATGATTAGTAGAGTCGTCTCGGCCTGCCAATTCCGACATCCCTGAACTTCGGAAGTCTTCGTACCCGTCACCACCGGAGATTACTAAAAGCTTGGCCGGTGCTGCAGTTCCTGGCTGGAAGATTAAGAAATATGTTTTTATTGGACATTTAGTTAATAAATTAACTATAACAGCTGCCAAACTATTCCACATTGTACATTAGAGTTGAATATAAATACATTATCTCTGTACAACAACATGCTCCACCACACATACTGGTTCTTGTTTCATACATTTGCCATTACCTGATGATGAGGATGGTCTCTCCCCTTGAAGGAATATCTTGAGTGACCCTTTAGACGAGACGTTCGAGGCTCAGGCGTCAACTCAACGCTTGTCAAAAATCTGTTGGGAATAACCCGTTAACTATTGGCAGGTTAGAAAACATAAACCAGACTGCACACTGTACAGTACATCAAAAGGTAATTAGGAAGATATAATATAATAATGGCAACACATTAAATAAATATAAGTTGACTTTAAGGACTATAATTCAAATACAAGTAAATAAATTATGTATACTGTATTATATTGTAGCAAATGTTATTATATTTTTTCAATTCACAAGTACAAAAGGAAGTTTGTAGGTTAATTCTTCTTTTGTTACGATAATATTTGTGTTATCTAAAAAGCTACTCTTAGTTTCCAGTGTTTAAGATGGTGTAGAAGATAATGCATTGCTTACCTTACATGACCTGTGTGCCCGTATGGTATACCGACCATGTTTAAGGGTGCTTGAACACGGTGGGTATTATGAGCTAGGTGGGGCAGGGGCACTGTAATGATGACTCCAGCACTCGTCCCAACCCAAAGCAAATCCTTACATGCCAGTAATGATGTTACACGTAAACATGCAGCTTTGTGTTGTCGGATGATGTCGTCACAACCTGAAAAATATCACTTGTGAATAATTTCTATTTTAAAGGAAACTGAAACAATTACACTTCAGGTTGACCTCAGTTTGCTAGTTTTGTAAGAACAGGATTTGCACCGGTTTACATTTCATTTCCCCAAATTTGTTCATGCCAGGCTAGGATTTGTACTGTACCGGAGTTTGTTGTGTTCTACACTAGTTACAAAACTTGATTGAGTGGTAAACAAAGGCTCTCCCAATTCCTCAAAGTTGTTCAACAAGTAAAGAGCCTCTTATGAAGAAGACTAAGATGTTAACACTAAACACTAAAATGGAGATGCTGATAAGTCTTTTAAATGGTAAAACCACAACAGTGCTTGACTTGGTGTATGAAATGAACAGTCAGCCAGTCATCATCATTCCACAGCCATTTTCCACGCTTGCATGGGTTACCTTTGATTACCTGATGGCAGCTCTTCGTGCTTCACAGCCTCTCTTATCAAGTTCTTAACTCTAATGTCATATCTTACTGCCTATCTCTGGCTCAACTCCCCTCCACAATTAGACTCATATACTTTTTGACCCAATTGATCTCCTTTAATCTCTCCACAAGCCCAAACCATCGCAGTCTGCCTTACATAAAGACGAAGGTTCCCATCCTTCACTGTCACATTATATGTCCACCTCACCATTTTCATTTCACCTCACTCAAGTCTTTATATGTCATCCTCTTTAACTGTTCATGTTTCACTGTCACACAGCATCAGGTACAGGTATGATATTTTCTATTCTCAGGATTATTTTTTGGGTGTGAAATCTTCATACATTACAACAGTTTTATGAAAGTTCATATTAAATGCTTTCTTTTGTTTCTTTAAAAAAAAAAGGTATTGCAAATTTTTTAATATACGTACACTACATACTGTAATAACAAATTAATAAAACTAACAGTATCAAAGGCTCGGAGAAAATACTGTCCATGATAAAAAAAAATAGCTACAGTAATAACTTACCTGCAAGCATTTTTGTGACGGCTGGAGCAACATTTACTTCACACAGACACTCGTAGGTGGCTGCGTGGTATAGTCTAACAGCGGCAGAATTGTGTACCGAGACCCAAACCCCGTGACCTGCAGACACCATACACGACACACCTCGGCCATTTTCTCCACCAACCACAAATGAATGCTGTTGCGGAAATAATTAATTATTGAGGATTTGAGGACTAGTGTGATGCTTATTATATACTGATAATACCATCTCATTTTCCTAACTAAAAGCTAAAGATAACCAAATCCAACCCAGCTAGAATTCTTGCTCTTTGATAGCTTTACATTTGTGTCATTCTTATACACAGTACGTGAAATATTATAGTCGTGCTTTAATTTGGATGTAAGACTAGTTCCACTCATTTCTACGTACTTCCACTTGTAGCGACACAGTGTTGAGAACGCGCACGGTGTTCATGGCTGCACACCACAGCTTTCCCGCCACAGCCATCATTCTGGTTACTGGTGCCGCTGCCGTACTAATGCTTATAACTTGTCTGTCTGCTACATTCCATCCTCCAGATTGGTCTCGCCGATATACGATGATGTCTCCATTAGCTAACGATGCAAACACTCGATTGTCTAAGTGACTGTTGAAGAAGAGATAAAGATAATTAGTATAATGTAAGGATATGAGGAATTGTGTTTGTGCTGCTCTATGTCTAATTGTTTCAGCCCTCTTGTGTTACTTCCTACACTTCTCTTGTATCATTAAGTGAGATGGTTCTGTTCTTTTACTTTTATCCTCTTCGCCACTGATCAGCAGAGACAGATTTAATTACAGTATTTACAAAATCTCTTCAAATATTTACTTCCAATCCATTAAAAAAAAAATGGACACACAAACACATGACAGTTGTTCTCGTTTCCCCCAGTACAGTACCGAGTGTTTTTCTGGTGACATTATCCCAGTTGTCCTCTTCCTCCCATCCATTTGACCTTTTCTTCATCATTTCATTGTATACAGTATTTAGGCCAAACAGTGACCAACATCTTTTTTTTTCCTATTTCTTTTCCCAGTTTATTGGTAGAATCAAGATCAAATACACCACAGGTTCAGGAATAAATATAGAAAAGATATATTTCCTGAGAAAAATATCATAAAGTACCGGTAACTTGTATATAAACTTACATTATACAGTGAACTGGAGATCCAGGTTGGAATTTGAACTTATTTTTCTTAATCCTAATTGTGTCGGAACAGTTATAAACGTGAATGAAACCATCTTCTGTCCCGAGCCACATTGTTGGCTGCTGGTTGTCCGTGTCGTCGCTACTCATCTCGGGAGGCAGAGATTCACTTCGCCGTTTTCTAATGTCTTCATCCATTGGAATTTCTTCATCCTCATCATCATCGCTAGAATCACTGTTGGCAGACACACACATTGTTTAAACAGATAATATATTTTCAAAGGGAATCACATATACTGTATTACAACAGACAAAACAAACCAACCTGACCAAAACAAATCACTCTTACATTACGTTTTTTATTAAGCTACGATTCATTTGACAGGGTTGGGTCATCTAACATCATAAATGGCTTACTCTCACATTGTACAGTAAACAGAACCATAGCAGTTTTAAATTGCAATGTATGTACTGTACTACTGCACTGTACTGTAGTCATTCTACATAGCTCTGAAGGGTGTAATTATGAATATAGTACTATGTGTGATTTTTATAAGGATACTCTGTTTCCTAACTGTGCATCACTAAACCTAACATTTACAATAGGTCAATAAATCAGTATACACCTACAACATAGTCCATCTTTAGTTTACTTGGTCATCTCTGAGACACAAGTTGACTGCATGGAGATTAAACTTTATAGAGATTACAATTACTTACCAGTCATAATAAATATACTGTATTAGTATCCTAAATAACAAATAGGAATTCATTTACAACTCTCACAGGTGTAAACAAACTTACGGTTGCGGTGCAGCAGGAATAGAGGCGATGGAGAGGATACGAGCATTACACACTCCGTTACAACACGCTACAGTTGGATCAGGTTGTAAACTTAGGACGCACACCTGACCCACGTATCCATCACTGAAAAGATGACGAATGGACTCATTACCGACACTCACTTTCATAGTCTTGCTTCACCAATAACAAATGCACCGCCAGCTTTACATGCGACTCTTTCATTGACTTACACAGTACAGTGGGGTATGCTATAACGAACGGATCCTACTACGAATATTCCTATAACGAACGGTTTTACCTATAAAATTGAGAATGCTATAACGAACGAAACTCCTACAACGAACATTATTTAATTTTTTTTTTTCTAATTTATTGTTTTTTTATTACAAATATTAATGATATTCTTTATTTCAGGGGTTTAGATGCATATTTATGCACTTTTTTACAATTTTTACAATTTTATATTATATTTTTCAGTGTTAAGTGGTTGTATTTGGGGGCCTGGAACGGATTAATCCTATAACGAACGAATGCTATAACGAACAAGGTTCTAGAACCAATTAGATTCGTTATAGCATACCCCACTGTACAGTAATGGAGTACTTACAAGATATGTCTCCCATGAAAGAGGAAAGTGATCTGTTAGCTAGAACAGCATCAGAGTATCTTGTGCTTGTTGTATTAAATGATAGTTAATGACTGTAGAAAGTCAAAAAGACATGAAATTCCTGTCTCAAGTGTTTGATAATTTTTATAATCTTTAACGGTAAGCATAACCAATGCTGAGGTACAATACTTTGATGCTCATGGAAGGATTGTACTGTATGATGTCACCAGGAAACTGTTGTCAGGTTATTAATTGTTTTTTTAATTAGGAAAATATATACAGTACAGTTGTAGTTATCGGTAAATTTGACATTGAAGCTAGTAAAATAATATTGCTACTTACCTATTACACACCCATACATCTTTTAGGTTATGAGCATTGAGACCAAGAGTAGCAGTTGCACACGTGAACTGAAGACCTGCTCTTGTTTTTCTAATAGGCAGAGCTGAGACAAACTCTGGGGGAGGTCGCCGGTCTGCTGACATTGCTGTAGGCAAACATGCTATCAGATAGGCAATGGATGGTTTATGTGCATCTTGCAGTAGAGTTAACAGTTAATTACTACTGTAGCTTTTCACATTGTCAGTGGCAGCTTGGTAATTACACCTACAGTACAGTATATATCTTGTATTCCACTCATGCAAGCCCTTTCACCACTGGTTCAGGGTGGCCATTATAACGAACAGTACAGCACACTATTTCCTTTACTGTCGTTTTCCTCTCTAGCTCTTGTCTTACCACATGTTTGTTCTGGTGTCCCTCTCCACCTCATACACCACCTCAGCATCACATCACCAGCACATCCCTCCCCCAAAAATAACATTTGATATTAAACTTCACATAGAGCACAGCACAGTACTAACAGTGACACATGCTAACAACAAGAACTGTGATGGTATTTTACATTCCATAGACTGTCTAGGAGGACTGTTATTGCTGGCTAAGAATAATACATAATGAAAGTTAAAGATATGAACGTGTATGTATGAGTATTTGTACTTGTTGCCTCAGCTCTTTACTCTTCCATGTTATATTTTTCTTGCACTCTTTTATTTCTCCCGAGTGAGGTGTCTGTACCCCTTGATCCTCCCCTCATAGAAAGAGAAGTTATTTAATGATAAAGAACTGACTGAAATTAGCTTCCTTCATTTCCCTTTAAGCTGATGAGGACATTTTTTATGAATTTTTATTTTCAAGTTTTATTTACATACTAAAGATATATTAAAAGAGAAAATATTATAGATTAGCCAAACCAAACACATCCTAACCAGATGAATTCTTCCCCATCCCCTAACTAAGCCAGGTCATGTATAAAACTGTAATGTGTATCCAGCAATCACATATTAAGGGTTGGTTCTCCCCCTTCAACCACTAGCATTATCATCATTATCAAAGTTTAACAGCCAATTTTCAAGATTGTGTGGATTAGCTACAATTACCTAATGCATGTTGAAGCAAAATTTTACGACTGAATGCCCTTCCTAGTCTCAACCTACAGCATGGCAACAGCTGGCAAGGTAGAGTCATAACTCTCTGAGGTAATCAAACACTACTTGCCTACCCTCTGTTTCAATATTGAAAGTAGTAAGGATGGGGGAGGGGACATCTTTTGTCAGGAAAATTGTCTTTTTAGTGAATATATTACAGATGTTCCTTACTGTTGTTGATGCTGCTCTTATAATTGCTTTTATTTTTATTGTTTCTTTTATTGTTTATTGATTAACTCACTGATAATGATGATGATGGTTGTGGTGAAGACATTTGAGAACTGTGCTTCTTACAGATATTGGTTCAGCTCAAATACTTTAAAATAAATGTAATTATCACTCACCTAGTTTGTGTTTAGCATCATTGAATGCTTCCTCCCACATAGCTCTCTTCTCTGCACTGCTGAACATGAAGGTCAGGTTCTCCATTCCTTCTCTATAAAAAACAGTGGGGTGTCTTACAGGAACTGAGAACATGTATGTTACTCCAGTGCAGCAGCTTCATCTTTTATGAAGGGATCCTCACCATCTAGTTAATTATTATTGTCATTCTCACTTTTTTGATATGTATGAACTCATTTAACTATACTGTACTGTACAGTATTTTAGTTTGATAATGATTCTCTGACCTCTGGAGGACAGGAACCATTGTTCTACTCTGAGTCTGTCCAATGAATAACTCTATCCAAAAAATTACAAAAAAGTGAACATTCTAATATTTCATAATTTCCCCAACTTGTTATAAAAAAATCTAGATTGTGTCCCAACTTCCATTTGAGATCTAGTTTTATTACAATAAACCCACTGATCACTTCTCCAAAGATCTGGAAACATTACTATGTATACGAGTCTATGACTTAATTTGGGGGCTCATTAAACCTGTCCTTTGTGAGTAAACACATCCTGGGTTAAGTTTCGTAAACTGACCTCCATGTTGGTCCCTTCACTGAGATTTAGAGGTAACTTTAACACTAAATACTAAATCTGGGGAACTGCACTATGTTTAGAATTGGAGAGCACTTTTTCCCTTGTGTACAGATCCCTCTCTGAGCTGAATAAAATCATCTGGCATTCGCCAACTAAAATACTGTATTAAAAGTGGCAGCCCCATAGTGAAGGGGTGAAGAGCTGACTTACTGTTGTCACCCTCTTATTTTGGAGGAAAAACTCTTGTTGTCTAAATACGTAACAGATATACCCGACTTTCCAAGTGGCTAACAAGCCAATCAGTAGCAGAGCTGTAATTCCACATTATTAATTTAGTGATTGGTCATCAACTTTTATTCCAATCATGTTAGAAATAAAATCTCATACAAAAGATTAAAAAAGTGATCTATATTGTTCCCTACACACGACCAACACCCCAGTCAACTTACTGTGTGGTGATGGTGAGCTCCAGTTCCATGAGCTGTGAGTCTGCACCATGTCTCTCCGCCAGCTGCTTCTGCACCTGGGTGATCATGTCCTGTACGGAGTCCTCCATGGGCCCTCGGGGACACCGGAGAGTCTTGGTGAGCTTGGAGATGTGTTCGAGTGTCTGGAGGTCTTCTTGTAAGGTCTCCAACTCTCTAACCAGCTTCTTCACACTCTCATCTCGTGCTGAAAACAAATCAAGTCAGGAATGATATTGTCACGAGGAGTGTTAAGAAATAGTGACTGACGGAACCCTTTAATATGCAGTTCTATCTTATTAGTCTCTAAATTTCTTCCAAGTGTGATAAGAGATTCCGTTGTGGTGACTCTAATGAGTCATAATGTAAAGAGGAAGACACATGGACAGACAGAGAGCAATCCTGTAGTACCCTCAGGTGACATAACTGAGAACAATAATTCACAGGGGAAATACTTACACCTAGCGATGTCCAGTTCATCTAATGGAATGAATTTGAAGAGCTTGAACTTGTTGGCTTCCAAGGAGCTCAGTAATGTGAATGGTAAGCTGAGGGAGGCAAATAAAAAATAGTGTTAATTTTCTTAAAGGTCTTTTGGAATGTTATGTTGACACTGTTAACAAGTTCAAAGGGGAGACAAGGAAAGGAAAAATATAATGCAAATTCTTTTATACTTAGTCATATTTTTCAGTATTTAACCTTACAGCAAAAATGTATTACTGTACTACTGTTCAGTTCATACTTAAAATAGAATACTGTATTGGTATTAACACCTCACAGTTTTACCTTACATTCCAAATGAATTCTAAAAAAGATACTCTAGCGTATACAGATACCCAAAGAATGTTCTATATTACTGAGGGTATATACAAACACTTTTGTTGTCTTTAAAAGTAGGTTCTATTCTCGTACGGGAGATAATACAGTCGGACACAGGAAGCCTGTGGGCACACCACCAGAACTCAGTCTTAACTACCTCTACATCTATCTATGTATTACTACGCGCTGGCCTATACAGATGCCAGCATTCACAAGCTGAATACATAAAGTATAAATGTGATAATTTATATACATAATATGGTGCACAATAAATAGAATATTACATAGAATTAATACATGTTCTGTAATACTTTACTATACATAATTAATAATAGTAATATAACAATATACAGCTGAAGGCACTACTTTGTGTCCATATATATCATACACCTCCCTCCCCCCTATACGCTCATAGTTTCATCTTGAGCGGACCTTTGTTTCTGAGTCGCTCGGACCTGCGGAGTACTGGGGCAGAAACACAAGGTGGGGATGGATTTACTTTAGAGACATCAACATTAGGGGACTCAACTGGGGAGGGGTCAACACTAGGCAGCTCCACAGGTCGGAGGAAACGACGGTTCCTCCACCATACTCTACCACTAGGAAGACGCACTTGGTAGTCCCTGGACCGGCCAATACCCATGACAACCCCAACCTTGTCCCAGCGGTGAGATACCGGATCTTGAATCCTGATCTGCTGGCCGATACTCAACCTGGGAAGGGGGCGGGCATGACAGTCGTACCGAGCAGCGACATCTGCGGCTCGTTCTGCTGCACGGCGGTCACATTCTTCAGTCTTGGCCTGCCACTCTTGAGAAAAAGACTTCGGGTGGGCAGGAACACAAGACCTGAGATGATGTCCGTATAGAACCTGGGCTGGGGAGCGTCCGGTGAAGTTCGGGGTGTTGCGTAACTCCAACAAACCTCGATCGAAGTCCTCGCAGTCGATATTTCCTGAGGGTGACACCTTAAGGATCAGGTGTTTCACAGTCTTGACTGCGGCTTCAGCGTGTCCATTCGCCTGGGGGTAGTGGGGCGAGGTCACGACATGACGGACTCCCCAACGGTCCATGAAGTCCCGGAACTCGTGGCTGGTGAACTGGGGTCCTCCATCAGTCCTGAGGCGGAGGGGAACACCAACTTCTCTGAAGTAATGCCTGAAGCTCCGGATGGTAGCAGTAGCCGTTGTATCACTACCACAGGGGACGACAACAGGCCATCCAGACAGTCGGTCGGCAATGACGAGGAAGGACTTCCCTGCAACTGCAAAGAAATCGGCCGACACAGACTCGAAGGGTCTTGAAGGGTTATCGTCGCACATTAAAGGTTCCTGTTGCTGGCTAGGTTGCAGAATCTGGCACGGTTCACAGGCACGGACGGTACTTGCAATGTCCGCGTTGATTCCGGGCCAAAATACAGTCTGCTTCGCCCGTCGCTTGGTGGCCTCCACTCCTCGATGGCTGTCGTGAAGGCGGGCCAAGGTACGGCGGCGTAGGGCAGCAGGAATAACTACTCGTGGACCATACAAGACGAGGTCTCCATCACAATAGAGGTCCTCGCGTATTTTCCAGTACGGGAGTAGCGATTCATGAAGGTCGTATCGATTCGATGGAAATCCCTGAGACACACAGTCGACGAGCCGGATGTAGGAAGGGTCGGCCCGGGCTGCGGTGCGGAGATCTTCAAGAGTCTTGTCTGCATCCAGTGCTGTAGACTCTTCTGATGTGAAGACGGCCTTCAATGAAATAGGTTTAGGGAATTCCTTGGAAATAATGGCCAACTCCTGACAATGGCCATATGATAAGAGCGGAGTCGGGATACCATTATGAACATCAATCCGGGCTGAGCAAGACTGCTTACCAAAGGTAAGGGTAGCCCAGAAAGATCCCAACGCTGGAGCCATCTTGGAACCATCAGCTGTCAGTTTCGTTGTCTGAGGAGGGGGCTGTAGGTTGCTCCGGGGTATTCCCAAACTTGCTAAATGTTGTGGACCAATTACTGAGACGTCAGCACCGGTGTCAGGTAACATCTGAAGACTGGATGACGAGTTACCGTAAGAAATGACGACATTGATGTGCTGGGGCGTCGTGTCTGTGGAACTACGTACACGACGGCAGGAACGACTGGACACAGCGTCTTGATGCTTGCCAGAAGGAGGGGGCGCGCCAGCACTACCTGAGGATGACTTCTTGGATCCTAGGTGGCGTCCTTTATGTGTCTTCTTACGACAACATTTGTCATAATGGCCCACACGACCACAAAGTCTACACTGAACTTTGCTAGCAGGGCACTTGACTGTGTAAGCCCAGTGACCCTGGCGGTCGCAACTTCTGCACACGCTTTGAGCAGCTGGGCACTGGGAGGCATTATGCTGTCTCGCGCAGCTGTTACACAAATCTGCTGCTGAAGGTGTGGCTGAAGGGTGAGGGGTGGGGTTACTTTGCTGCTTCTTACCCTTTCTGTAGGAAGACACCGCCCTCACCTGGTCAGGCTGTGAGCGTAAAGCTGAAGTCGCACACCTGGCGGCCTCGTACGCTCGACATTTCATAACAACATCTTGAAGGGAGGAAGTGGGGTCGAGGGAAATGAGACGCTGAACTAGCTCTTCATCTCGGACACCCGTTAAGATAATTGTCTTAAGTTGTGTTTCTTCACAGACTTGAGAATGTCCGGGACAAACATCAACTTCCTCTGAACACCTTTTGAGCCTTACAAAAAACGCGTCAAAAGATTCTCCATCAAGCTGTTTACATTGGAGGAGTTGTCTTCTCCTGAGTGCTTCGTTGCGCTGTCCCTTGACGTGTTCCTGCAACTTGTCGAGCACGGCCTCTACCGTCAGAGTTGTCGTAGGAGGCACTTGAAGTGTGTGCTCGAGAGTACGTTGTGTCTCTAAGGACAAGCACATACGAAGCTGGATCATTTGTTTCGGCTGTGATAAACTGGACAAGTCAACCATTGTTGCGTAGTCTTGCCAACGTCGACGCCATTCCCGAAACATCTGATAAGAAGCGTCAGACATCAGAGAGGGAGGCGTCTGTACAGCAGCCTTTTGAGGTGTTGTTCCGACTCTGGGAAATGAGGTACCAGTACCTCTAGTCGCATCAACATCAGTTGTAGCAGACGAATCTTGTACGGTAGAACGTTGTGGGGAGGCTAACAGAGAAATCAAAGCTTCAAATCTGGCTTGATCCTCCTGTCTTCTAAGGTCATCCTCACGTCTACGTATGTCTTCGAGTTCTCTGCGTGTTTGTTCCTCTTTGTGGCGTCGTCTTTCAGACTCTTTGTACCTAATTTCTTCCTCTTCTCTCCTTGCCATATCGTCCTGGCGTCGAGAAGTTTCCATCCACTTTATCAGTTGAAGGAGATCTGTGGACGCATGCATCGCAGGAGAGCTGGCTCGCGACGAGCGAGGAGATTCTGTGGGTGATTGGGCACTGTCACTGTGGGGGGCGTGGGGCGTAATCGTGGGTGGGGAGAGGTCTCCCACACTAAAACTCGTAACCCCATCGTCCAGGGTATCGTTATGATCCCTGTGAGACATGCCGACTGCTTCTGTACTCTATCTGTGCAAAAGACCGGGTCAGCCCCTCGTAATCTATGCACAGAATTACAGAAGTTTACAGTAAGTCACCAGAAATATAAGGTGAATGCGTGTGTGTGTGTGTGTCTGGCAGGCCTGGTCCACTGTTATCTCACTGAGAAATAATCACTGCGCCATCTAGCGTATTGCCAGATACCCAAAGAATGTTCTATATTACTGAGGGTATATACAAACACTTTTGTTGTCTTTAAAAGTAGGTTCTATTCTCGTACGGGAGATAATACAGTCGGACACAGGAAGCCTGTGGGCACACCACCAGAACTCAGTCTTAACTACCTCTACATCTATCTATGTATTACTACGCGCTGGCCTATACAGATGCCAGCATTCACAAGCTGAATACATAAAGTATAAATGTGATAATTTATATACATAATATGGTGCACAATAAATAGAATATTACATAGAATTAATACATGTTCTGTAATACTTTACTATACATAATTAATAAGAGTAATATAACAATATACAGCTGAAGGCACTACTTTGTGTCCATATATATCATACAGATACTAATTAATGTTATTACTTATGATTGTCATAATATTCATGAATAAAACTGATCTAAAGAATCACTAACAAATACAGCTTATAGAATACAATACCTGAGGAACATCCAAAGAACAGACAGATTTTACTACAGTATATCACAATACAGTAGCTGTTTTGTTTTCCCAATATGGGTTTGTAAATTGTGTAAACTTTTGAACATTGACTCATCTCGACTCAGCACATGAAGACAAACTCACCTTTACCCTAACCACAAAGACCAACACATCTTGACCCACCCCATACACACGATCTTACCTTGACCCTTTTCGTATAGTGCCAGATCGTCTCTTAATAGCGGTGATAACAAGGAGATCAGAGAAGAGGAAAAGGCAGCGTTCCTTTCGTGTCACCAGTCCCGGGTGCATCGTTACTAGGTCATGGCGTAAGAACATCCTGGAAAGGAATGCAAACTTGTATCATCTGTGGCTAATTCATTGCTTATATATTTTTTCCATTAGTAAGCCTTTATAATTAGCATGAATGGATTAGTCTGTGTATGGTCACTTATTTTTCAAATACTGTATTGGGGCTTTATGATATAAAGCTTAATTTGAATGAAAAAAAAATGAACATACAATTTTGACCAATAATACACAAGGTCTTCCAGAGCTGAGCATTGATTGGGCGGAACAAGCTGTTATGTATGTTTTCAGAGCCCTGAGTGTAGGTAAGAAAGCTACTACCCTACTCACTTTAGTATGAGTCAGTATCATACAATTGAAGCAAGATATGGTCATAAAAGCCTGACAGCTCCATTCAAAATATACAAAGGTAATTGTTGACTTACCTATCTGGTTGGACAAGACCATCAAGGCCCTCTATAATGTTCTCAAGTTCTTTTAGTAGTAGTTGTTGCTGCTCGTGCTGGAGAGCTTCTTGCTCCACAGCATTGATCCTACTGGCTAACTGTTGCACCACCCCGATGGCCTCTGTCAGGAGTGCATGGTCAGGGTGCTCTCTACTAGTGTGCTTCAGGAGACGCTGTACAACATGAAGAGAATGTTAGAATGTTTTGCCTAATCCTCTATGACATCATTCATAGTATAGAAGAAATATTACAATAATAAGACTGAACCTTAAAAAATAAAAAACAATTCTGAGTTTGTTATCTGATTTTACATGAGACATTACTGGATAAAGATAGAGATTTGACTTATAGAGTAATGCATGATAGTGTGCCTTGAGCTGTAGGCCAGGTAAAGGGATCCTCACCTTGAGTAGTAATTCATACTGTGGAAGGCGTTGGACAGGCTTGATGAGGAGAGCCTTGAGGTCCAGTTTGCCATGGTGTTCCCGAGCTCGTGCCTGAGGAAGGAGATATTTGTTAGTTGTTGCAGCTCTCGCACAATTGACTAACATTTTTCAAACCAATTTTTACTTTGATGATATTCTCAAACATTGAAAATGGTAAAACACACACACACACACACACACACACACACACACACACACACACACACACACACACACACACACACACACACACACACACACACACACACACACACACACACGCACACACACACACACACACACACACACACACACACACACACACACACACACACGTGGTCAATAACAGAAGATGGTGAGTGATCAAAAGATGCCAGTAAATTAAGAGACAAGTCTTGCTAACAATAATAAGGTAATGATTGCCAAAGAAACTCATTGATCATATTGGATACAGTGACCACTAGCACGTGTGTGTGTGTAGTGGATGTAGTTATCATTTGAACATGTGTGAGTGTCTGTAAAATATATGCAAACATTACAGTCCAGGTATATGGATCTTTTCATGTCTATAATGACTTGAACACATTTTAGCACACATTATAATTTTTGGCGCTCATCACCAAGTTTATTTCAACTGTAACTCTTCACTCGTTGGCTCTATATCAGCCAGTTAGAGCTGCAGTTCATCAGTGGACACCTTTTGTGTATAGATGAAACAAGGGGACCAGTGTATATTCTCCAGTATTCACCAATGTAAATGAATAAATACCAGGATTGTTTATTTATTTTATTTTTAATACTGTAAGTGTAATGTATACTGTATTGTATATACTATAGCTATATTATATGATTCAGCTTAATACTGTAGACCTATAATAGTATATATCAGCATGTTTTATACTTTAAGTGCAGGTAAAGAAGAACTAGTTTATATGTCTCAATATTCACTACTTGAAGGTGACCCATGAACTTAGCATACAGTACTTCCCTTGTAAGAGAGTGTTTGATTCTGTGGGCGGGGTGAACCCATGGGGAAGCCTCTTTACACCATTAGTCTCTTGTCTACCCTGGAGTAATTAGGGACCTAGACATTAATAATTGGTAGATCATGTTCAGGGCTAAGTTATCTGCTCCTCCTTGTCACTGGGTCATATACCTCGCTTACTCAAAGGTTCTTGGCGGCAGCTTCTACACCTCACAGTACTAGGGCTAACCGTTCATAATCAGCAAGGGACAAGCATTTTAATCAGGACTTGTTTGAATGTTAATACAGTACTGTGTGTTATTATACTATGGACTTGGTGAGGGTTAATACGTTATGTGTATATATAACAGCTAGCATCCTGCATTGAGTCACGCGCGTCACACTCACCACCAGGAAGTGTCTGAAGGCAGGTTTGGCCTGGGCTGCAGCCTTGGCCGCCTCATGAGCCGTCTTCCAATTATTGGTGAAGGATGTGTAGCTCTCCAATACCCCCGGGTCGTTCACCTGTGGGCATAATTATTGTTATTGTCCCTCAACTGTACAGAAACACCACCATGATTTTTAAGAAGTAAAAGAGTAAAATTTATTATTGGTATTAATATTATTACTCATTGTTATTACAGTGTTATTAATATTATTATTATTACTGTACTTATAACTATAATGAACACAGTATTATTATTTACATTAACATTCTTTTATAATCATTAATCTATTAGGTAATACAAGAGAATCATTACTAAAAAAAGGTACGGTTTTGTTAGTCCAAGAGGCAGGGAAGCACTCACCAGCCTTAACCCCATCTCCTTACTCCACACCATCCCACCTTACTCCACACCATCCCTCCTTACTCCACACCATCCCTCCTTACTCCACACCACCCCCCCTTACTCCACAGCATCCTTTCTTACTCCACATCATCCCTCCTTACTCCACACCATCCCTCCTTACTCCACACCATCCCTCCTTACTCCACAGCATCCCTCCTTACTCCACAGCATCCCTCCTTACTCCACTTCATCCCTCCTTACTCCACATCATCCCTCCTTACTCCACACCATCCCTCCTTACTCCACACCATCCCTCCTTACTCCACTTCATCCCTCCTTACTCCACTTCATCCCTCCTTACTCCACACACCATCCCTCCTTACTCCACTTCATCCCTCCTTACTCCACATCATCCCTCCCACTCCACAGCATCCTTCCTTACTCCACTTCATCCCTCCTACTCCACACCCATCCTCCTTACACACATCATCCTTCTTACTCCACACCATACCCACTCCACACCATCCTCCTTACTCCACACCATACCCTTACTCCACTTCATCCCTCCTTACCCACACCATCCTCCTTACTCCACACCATCCCACTCCACTGTCGGCGAGATAAATAGAACTGCCCGAGTAACACCTGTAGACTTACACACACACACACACACACACACACACACACGGGCTGATTATATATTATCAGGAGATGGTGGTCTTTATGTTCCCCTCCTCCTCTTCCCCATCCTCCTCCACTCTCTCCTCCTCTTCCACTCCCTGCTCCTTCACCACTCCCTCCTCCTCCACCACTCCCTCCTCCTCCCCCATTCCCACCTTCTCCATCACTCCCTCCTCCACCACTCCCTACTTCTCCACCACTACCTCTTCTCCACCACCACCACTCACCAGCTGCAGGAAGATGTCCCCTACACAGTTGCTGGCGTCCCTGGACTCGATGCGTTGCTTAAGCTCCTCCAGGAAGCGCTCGTGGTAGGTGTGGATATCCGGCACCTGCAGGAGTAAAAAAAGACCTTGAGACATCAGGAATCATCTTATTTTCCTTCACTCAACACAACACCTAAATTATACCGAGGATTTGTTGTTGACACCTTGCCTATATATGGTGTGTGTTGACTCCCTGAATTATTGTATTTTGTTCATCTCTTGACATACACACACACACACACACACACACACACACACACACACACACACACACATATATACATACATACTCTCTCACTAAATACAGATAACTGAGAAATTAGAAAACAGTGTATATTCTAACTTTATAAAATAATACAAAACTATAAATAATAAACTAAACTAACCTAACATAATTCAGGTGACAGAGGGTCCCATAGTTGTAATCTTAGGTACCCATTTACAGCTGGGTGAACTAGGAGCGTCTGAGAATCGAAACACCGACCCCTGTCACAAGTCGAGTGCTGTAATCTACATAACCCCCCCCCCACACACACACACATATATATTTGAATTTAGTTATATCATGATAATAAACGGCGCCTTATATGAAGTTAAGTTAGCCATATACTGTATATATTAAGCCAACAAGTTTTCTATGATTGATGAAGGGATAACTAAAAAAATGAGGGTTCGTAGTGTGATGCTCGTTGGCCCGGAAAGATAAAGTGAAGACGACGCCGGTATGAGGAACGAGGGAGTCATCCACCGCTTGAAAATCGATCTAATGGTGTGGCGCAGGTTATTCACGGCCGCCCCAAGATGCTGCGGCGTAGTTTATTCACGGTCGCTCACTTATCTGGCCGCACCTTCACACCAAGATGCTGCGGCGTTGGTTATTCACGGCCGCACCTTCACACCAAGATGCTGCGGCGTTGGTTATTCACGGCCGCACCTTCACACCTAGATGCAGCGATGTTGGTTATTCACGGCCGCACCTTCACACCAAGATGCTGCGGCGTTGGTTATTCACGGCCGCACCTTCACACCAAGATGCTGCGGCGTTGGTTATTCACGGCCGCACCTTCACACCAAGATGCTGCGGCGTTGGTTACCTTCTAGACGCCGCACCTTCACACCTAGATGCAGCGATGTTGGTTATTCACGGCCTTTTCACACCAAGATGCTGCGGCGTTCACGGGTTCACCAAGATGCTGCGGCCGCACCTTCACACCAAGATGCTGCGGCGTTGGTTATTCACGGCCGCACCTTCACACCAAGATGCTGCGGCGTTGGTTATTCACGGCCGCACCTTCACACCTAGATGCTGCCGCCCATATAACTTGGAAAGTGGAAAGGCCAAAACAAAACAAAAACAATAGGGCTACAACGACAGTGTTCGACAAAAAAAAAAGGCTGACGAAGAAATGCAACAGCGTTAACAACAATGCAAGACGACAACAACAACACTAATAAGCACAACAACAAGGACAGCGTCAGGTGATCACAGTGTTAGAAGATGAGAAGAAATATGTACGTCATAATTACAGCACGTGAGCAACAACAACAATAACAGCAGGAGCATCAACAAACACAGCAGCGGCAAGGGAAAGAAAAATAACAGCGTGAAGACAATAACAGAGGGAGGACAGAAGCCACACCGTTGCCTCTCAGAAGTGAATGAACGGGATATAAACAAATGACGTCACTACACCTAGCCAAGCCCATTGTCGGGTGTATGTGTGTGTCTGTCTGTCTGTGTAGTGGCCTAATTCCTTCTACCTAGTTAGTCTCTCTCTCTACACATGGATCTCTCACCCGTAATGTGGTACACGCCCGTGGGAGGGGAGGTAAACACACTTCCCCATTGACAGGTTATATATGTGATTCAGGTTTCAGTTTTACACACACACACACACACACACACACACACACACACACACACACACACACACACAAGAAAAGGAAAGAGATACTGAAATTAATGTACCATGATTATCACTATCATCATCATCATCATCATCCTAAAACCATAACAAACACAAGTAAACAAAAGACCACGAGATTCTTTGATGATGTCAGCTCAGCCATCTACCGGATGACGACGACGACGACGCAGCAGGAGGTGGGAGGTAGAGGCCGCCTTCACAGCCTCACCCCCCACCGCCACTAACATGCGCCATCAACACCTCCAACTTACAGCACCAGATTCAGATTCCCTCCCTCTTCCTCTTACCTCATCATCCACTCTCTCACTGCACACTACCTAGGACGCCGCCTAGTGTGTGTGTTTACGCTTTAGTCGGCCACGCGATATCAAAACACCCTCTTCCCTCGATACCGTTTACGAATGGGGGGAATAAAATATATATTCCATTTTTAAAACCTAATCAAGTTTATTGTTGTATTACATCGACATCGTGCAAATAATAATATCCTTAGTAAATTAAAACTAATATATAAATGCCTTCCAAGAATTCGTACTGCGTTAAATGGTGAAGAAACGCCGATGACCACAGATGAGCCCACGATCCCCCTCCCTCTCCTTACCCCCACCGTCTCTATCACATGACGTCATTAACAGTTATAATTACAGAGTCAAGCATCTCGGGTGTGTGTTTGTGGTGTGTTGCCTGCTGAATCTCTTATCTGTTGCCTGAATACACTGGCGCCATCCTGAGTCAATAATTACATGAGGTTGATGAACAAGGATGAGTATCGTTGGATGTTTGATGAATGTTCAGGAATTCCACATATCACAGACACCTTGAACTAGATTCAAAATTTTCATGTTATAACTGTTGATTTAGTTTGGTTAGGTTAGGTTTGATTTGATTAGATATGATTTGATTAGCTTCGGATCAGGACCGGATTAAGCTTAATAGGGGCCTGAGGCACAGATCAACTTGGGGCCCCCTACCCCTATATATATATATATATATATATATATATATATATATATATATATATATATATATATATATATATATATATATATATATATAGCAAGAACAAAATATATCAAAACTTATCAATGATTTCATCATTATTAAGCTTCTGCAAAATAACACATTCAATGTTCATAAGAGACAGAAATTAGACGTTGCTAGTACATCGTTGAACGAAGTTCATGTTTTAAATGCTTCAACTTCGAGAATGTTTGGATTTGGGGGCTACTTAGAGTCGGGGGGCCTGAGGCCAGTGCCTCAAGTGCCTCATGGTTAATCCGGCACTGCTTCGGATTGGTTTGGTTTGGTTAGTTAGGGTTGGTTTAATATTGCTTTGTTACGTAAGGATTGGTTTAGTTTGGATTGGTTTGGTTACGTTAAGTTCCAACTAAGGCCAGGAAATATAAAAAAAACTCCCCAAAAGCGGTACGATAAGTTGAGCTAGAAGGCTGGCAGCGCGTGTCCAGCCTGTGACTACGGACGTACGATAACCTAATTGTTTGTTTTTAATTCTGATGTAACCACAAATTCGCAACAGGATTCTAATTGTTTCTTATTTCAGGACACAATTCTATATTATTTCGTCTATTGTAATTGTTTAAAATGTTATAAAAAATTCCTGGGTATTATTTCATTGGGTGAATTTCTAATACCTTTTCCTTAGGTGTTTCTGGGAATTTCTGCAAAATGTCAATAATTTTTTCCTCCTTGTTTTCTCAGAGCTGTGGGGACTCTCGAGGGTAAACAAACAGCTTCCATCACGACAACACCACGGCTACAGCATCAAGGTAAATGATTTTGTTATGTAATTACTACGAAACATTTTCTTCCTCTAAATCAGGTTCCGGATTCTCAAAAAAATAAATGCTCGTAAGTTAACTTTTCCTCGTTATTGGCGATGGTATGAAGGCATCCAATTGGGTTGCTTTAAATACCACACAAAGTGGATTCTTATTGATTCGTAGGTTTAATTTTCCTCTTAACTGGAGACGTGAGAACACATCTAAGTGGCTTACGTAACACTCAAGCATAAATACAATGTCTTGAATGGCATCAAGACTCACTACAGACTAAACTGGTACAGTACACGGCTGATAACATTAATGAGGGGATTGTACGTAATAGTGTATGTGTGTCACAACTCTACTGCCAGGTGCTGAAAATAGTCTTAAGTTAATTTTGTATCTTATATTGTATAAAGTAAAGGTGCAGTCTCTATTTAAGGTTGAGTCTCAGTGTTATTTACGAGGAAAAATTTAACGAAGGAACTGAGGATACTTTTCACCTAGATTATATTTCGTCGGGAAGTAGCTGCACTGTAGGCAGAGTTTTATACCTGTACACAAAGCCTCGTCGATAAATTGTCAATGTTTTGGCAGTGAGGGGTAAAGGGTTGGGTAGGTGTTGATAATTAACGTGTACGTCATCTGCGGAGGGACACCCGTATGACGCACACCATCCGTGTTTGTAAACATGTCGTGACGTCAGCATGGCATGGTATCAGATCCCCACCCCTCACGTGAGTCCCTATTGACGCCTCAGGTCTCTTCACATTTAATAGTGATTAGTTTATTTGTCAATCAAGTTCACAGGTAGTAGGCAGCTATCAAACAGGGAGGTATTGGGAAGATATTGGAAGCATAATGTGTTGTCTAATGGTAGACCCTGCTGCCGTATGTGACCAAGTTCTAGGTTGATGATCTGACTTTCTGCCTCATTTACACACAATTGCAGGGTTTCAATTGTTTCTCTTACTTTGACAACACAACATACAAAATTATATCGTTCCTCACTATTGATTTATTTTCGGCTTTGTATTTATTTATGGTTATTATTATATTATTATTATTTAATTTTGATTTTTATTATAATTTTTATTTATTTTTATTAATTAAATACAAATATAATCAGACTGCACTCGAGGTAGGTGGCAACACAGCTCAAGTGATATTCTTTTAATTTTTGACCTTGACCTTTGACCTCTAGAACGTTAAGACTGCTATTATTGGGCGTTATCATCATGAATACGGTATATATTTTAAGTTTTAATTTTTGTAGTTCGTAGATTTATGATCTTGAGAGTATTGTTGGAGACAGCCAGACAGACAGACAGATAGACAGACAGATAGATAGATAGATAGACAGACAGACAGACAGACAGACAGACATAAAGATAGACAGACAGACTGATAGATAGACAGACAGACAGAGTACTGACCGCCCTACCAATGTGATCTCGTTAGCGGGAGTAAATAAATACCTCCTCAAACCCAGTGTGATGTTGACAGGCTAATTACCGTCCGTATACCTGGTCATTATACAGGTAAACAGTAGAGTATTAGAGGTTATATACGGGAAGTCTTATATAAGTGGAGAGAACAATGCTAAGATGGCGACGTATAGTTCACACACACACACACACACACACACACACATACACACACACACACACACACACACCGCCAAGGGATAGCATCCCGACGAAGGCCACGTGACAGGTGTCCTCGTGTGCCTCTGTCGGTCAAGACGCCTCTCGCTCTCTGCCAGCTACCAGATAACACCGCCCCCCCCACACACACCTCACCCTCTACATCCCTCCTCCCCTCCCCCGTAAGTGTGTGTGTGTGTGTCCTGACGAAGGCCACACATGAAACAGGTCCTCGTGAGTTCTTCGGCGTGTAAGGTGACGCTCGTGGCCAGACACCAGGTAAACACGCTCCCTGGTAATTGGATAGGAGTCCGTCTTAAACTAAATTAGCCCACTTGTCCCCGGCGAGGAAGCCCCACAGCGACCTTGCCAGCTACGCACTTTGCTCAAAGACACCCGGATCCAGATTGCGTAGTAGGCGGGAGACGAAGAGGAGGGGGGAGGAAAGAAGGGTAGAGGATGGTAGGGTGGAGCGGAGGAGATAGGGGAGGGGGGTGGAGGGTGGACGAAGAAGAGGAGGGGGTAGAGGGTGGAAAGGACGAAGGAAAGAGGGGGGGTTAGGGTGAAGAGGAGGAGGAGGGTTGAGGGTGAAGAGAAGGAGGAAGGAGAGAGTACGGAAGAGAGAGATCAGGAGAATAGAAGGAAGAGAATGAGAAAAGGGGAGAGACTAATATACGAAGGAGGAAGAGGAAGGAAAAAAAGGAGAGGATAAGAGATGAAGAACGAATGACTGTGGATGATAAAAGGAAAGAGAATGAAGGAGGAGAAAGATTATATTGTGAGAAAGAAGGAAGAGGCAAGGAGTACAGAATGAGAAAGAAGATAGAGAATAAAACAAAGAAGATAAGATAGATGAAAAGAAGTGACGCTAAAGAAGGTGTAGGAGGCAGAGGAAGAAGAGGTGATGAAGGGGGGTAGGTAACTTCCTGGAGATGCGCCACTCAACTTGCTAATCAACACCTGGGATTAGGGCTAACACGGCTAAGGTTGACTAACAGATTGGTTGATTGAATGATTGGCTTTTTGATTAGGTAGGTGAGAGAGTGACTAGGTGGCTGGCTGGTTGACTGGCTGGTTGGTTGACTGGCTGGCTGGTTGACTGACTGGCTGGTTGGTTGACTGGCTGGCTGGTGGTCGACGCTACAAACAACCTCACAACCCAACAATGAAGCTCAATCAACACCAACTTACCTGCTAATATACACCTGACACCTGCAAACACGTCTCATGGTCACGGCTGAGATGTGTGTGTGTGTGTGTGTAAGGGTTTTTATCATTGTATCATAGCTTGGATGATCGTCATACTCGATTCCTAGTGACAGCAAAGTAGTAGTAGTAGCAGTGTAAGGGCAATGAGAGTAACCAGACAATTTCTTTTCTTCAAAGACTCGCGTTATCATCGGGGTCCCTCAGTGACCCTTTGTTGTGGTCGGTTACTCTCCGAGGGTTTTGTTGTGGTCGGTTACTCACCTGATAGAAGATGTCGTCCACCAGGCTGGCGTCGATGATAGCGCTGTACTCTGGACTCTTGAGCGTCTGCTGGTACCTCTGGTGGGAGACAAATAATATGTTAGTGTTAAACCAATGTGACCTGAACTAACCTAATCTCGATAGTAAACAAATGGAGAATAGCGAGAGAAAAGGAGAATTAACGAGAGAAAAGGAGAATTAGCGAGAGAAAGTGAGAATTAGCGAGAAAGGGAGAATTGGAAAGGAGAATTAGCTGAAAAGGAGAATTACGGATGATAGCAAGGTTGTCAAGGTCTCGCAGAGTTACGTGGCGTTAGATCAGTCTGTCCTTGAACTATAGGGTAAAAGAAATAAACAAAGAGAGAGTGAGAGAAGGAGGGAGAGTGAGAGGGAGAGAGTGAGAAAGGGAGGGAGAGGAGGAGAGTGAAAGGGAGAAGAGTGAGAGAAAGAGGGAGGGAGAGTGAGAGAAAGGGAGAGGGGAGAGTGAGAGAAAGGGAGGAGAGTGAGGGAGAGTGGAGGGGGAGGGAGAGTGAGAAAGGGGAGGAGAGTGAGAAAGGAGGAGAGTGAGAGAAAGGAGGGAGAGGAGAGAAAGGAGGAAAGTGAGAGAAGGAGGGAGAGGAGAGAAAGGGAGGGAGAGTGAGAGAAAGGGAGAGGGAGGAGTGAGAGAAAGGGAGGAAGAGTGAGAGAAAGAGAGGGAGAGGAGAAAGGGAGGGAGAGTGAGAGAAAGGAAAGTGGGAGATAAGGGGAGAAAGGGAGAAAGAATGAGAAAAAAGAGAGAAAGAGAGAGAGAAAAAAGTAGGACAGAGCATATACAGTATGTATGTAGGCATGTGTGTATGTATGTATGTATGTATGTATGTATGTATGTATGTATGTATGTATGTATGTACAGTATGTATGTATGTATCCTTATCATTATAAAGTTCTTGTACGTCATCTGTCTTCTGCCTCAAGTAGGATCTTATTGTCGTTGATTTTAATTGTTCCACCTCATTTATATCCTTTTTTTCTGGTTCATTTATTTATTCTTTATGTATATTTCCTTCCTTTTGTATCTTGTTATTTTCTTCTATCTCTTTGTATTTCCTATTTCGTAATCTTCCTTGCCTCTACAGTCCACGGAACATTAAAAAAGACCATTCAAGTAACAAAAAAGACCACCCAAGGAACAGAAAAAGACCATCCAAGGAACAGAAAAAAGACCTTCCAAGGAACATTAAGACCATCTAAGTAACAATAAAAAATACCATTCAAGGAACATTAAAAAGACCATCCAAGTAATAAAAACATCAGGAACAATAAAAAGACCATCTAAGGAGCATTAAAAAGACCAACCAAAGAACATTTAAAATACCATCAAAGTAACAATAAAAACATTCAGGAACAATAAAAAATACCATCCTAGGAACATTAAAAAAGACCATCCAAGGAATATTTTATCTTGTTCGTAACCTCAGAATTGTATTTTCAGGTCGTTTTGGCCATCTACGGGAGCGGCGCTAAATATACAGGAGCCAGGTACTGTAAGGAGGGAGGAGGGAAGGTGTGGTGAAGGAGGGGAGGAAGGGAAAGGGGTGGTGAAGGTGTGGAGGGAGGGGGGTGTGAAGAGGGAGGAGAAGGTGTGTGGGATGGAAGGTGTGGAGGAAGGAAGGGGAGGGAGGGAGATGTTGTGTGGGAGGGAGGAGGGAAGGTGTGGAGGAAGGAAGGGGAGGGGTAGTGGTGAAGGTGTGGAAGTAGGGAGGGAGGGAATGAGGGAAGTGAGGGAGGGAGTGGGTCGTGTGTGAGGAGGGTCAACAGGCGAAAAACCTTCCCACTGCTGAACAAATGATGAGGCCCTGTTGACAGTTCTGGTGACTCACTGTTGCTCTTGGGTGCTCTGCCAACCTCTCTCTCTCTCTCTCTCTCTCTCTCTTTCTCAGGGCATGTGGCTAGAATAAAATGTTCGGGAAGGTCACTACTACCACCACTACTACTGTCTACTACTACCAGCCCAAACTACCACCATTATCACCATCCTACACCACCACCATCACCCCTATCACACTACCTACACCACTACCACCATCATCACTGTATCACCATCACAACCCCACAACCATCACCCACTACCATCATCACCACCCATCACCCATACGTGTCCACTCCTCACAGCATCGCCCCCTCACCACCATCCCGTGTTTACACTCTGCTCTGGGGTGCCACAAGGCTGAGGAGACGAGGAGGCTTTGATAAGTGACCTTGCCTGGCGGGCGGTGGATGACCTCGCCTAATTAACTATGCATACACGGTGCAGGTAAGCAAGGTGGACAGGTACCCGCTTCTGACTATTTAATAATCAGACCATCGTGGGGTGAAGACAGTCGCCCCAGGGTCTCTCTATTCTTGGGGCCGTTTTTAAGAGATGTTTCCCAGTCTTGTCAAGGTATATCTAAAGTGTCTAAAATATTCCGTCTTTCTGAATAATAAAATGAGTGGTGGTAAATTATCTTTTGTTGACTTTACTAAATGAGTTGTAACCGCTCAGTTTATTTCAGATTTATGTAAAATATGTAAAAATCTCCCGTATTTACAGATTGAAATATGTAAGGTAGTAATCTGTCTTTCCAGTTCACAAACACAGGGAAACGAATAAATTACGAAACTCAGATTCCACAAAGATTTGTTTAAACTTACGAGATGAACAGGAGAAATGTGGGAAAGTTTCAACGTGAAATAAAGAAAATGTGTCACAGTAACATCATACAATAAGGAAAACGCGTGCTAGACGTCGGGGTAACTCAAGAAAAGCACCAGAGTTAGTGAGGGACGTTGGCTCCAGTTCAGAACACACCTACCCCAACCTAACCTAACCTAAGACTAACTTTAAATGGGTTTTAGGATTTATGGAAATTGAGTTCGTGGGATTTTGTCAAGTGTAAAAATTGTATGTTGGGATTTTATAAGAAACTGGGATTTTGTCGGTACACCACAGGGACCATCGCCACCACTATCACCATCATTCTCACCACCACTATCACCACCATCATTAACACAACCACCATATCACCACCACTATCACTAACACCACCACCACTATCACCATCACTCTCACCACCACCACCACTATCACCACCACTATCACTAACACCACCACCACTATCACCATCACTCTCACCACCACCACCACTATCACCATCACCACCACACCACCACCACCATCACCACCACCATCACCAACACCACCACCACCATCACCATCACCCCCACCACCACCACCACCACCACCACCACCACCATCACCACCACCATCACCAACACCACCACCACCATCACCACCTCACCACCACCACCACCATCACCACCACCATCACCAACACCACCACCACCACCACCACCACACCACCACCACCACCACCACCTCACCACCACCACCACCATCACTAACACCACCACCACCATCACCATCACCTCACCACCACCACCACCATCACCTCACCACCATCACTAACACCACCACCACCATCAC